CCCTCCCTCTCTCTCCCTCTCTCTCCCTCTCTCCCTCCCTCCCTCGTCTTTCCTGCCATGGCCTGCCAACAGTTTGTGTGCCCCTCCACAAACCTTACCTTGTGTGTAATGATTTGGACTATTCATTTTATGCAGTGCCATTTTATGGAGTCAGAAACTATCAATAAATGTCATGACTATGCGTGTTTTTTAAAAAGATCCCAAGAAAACTCAACTCTTCAGTACGTATTAGAAACTCACAAAATAAAAGGGAGTAAAAAGAGAAAAACAGTAGCATAAATTTAGCCCAACTGGTGCTGACCACCTTAGTCATACAGATCTAGAGGGGAGAATTATGGAGATCAACATGGTGGCTTCCCTGACCTTGGGGCGGTCTTCCTTCCTCAGAGCAACAGCTTCGAGTTTGGCTTCGTACTCTGCTTGGACTTGGTCTCTCTTCTTCAGGACACTCTGTGGGAGGCAGAGAAGAGATAAATGTAACAAGGAGTCTGCAAAGAGGCCTTCCAAAGCCCAGGCAAGCCCTTCCCAAATCCCAGCATATCCAGCCAGGCCCCGCCACGAGCTCCCAGGCTGGTCTTCTCCTGGGCCAGAAGCGCGCGGTGTGACGTGTGACGTGTGACAGACTGGAGGAAGTGTGCGAAAGGAGGGAAGAAAGGAGAGCCATTCTTGGAGACCAAGATTTTCCGAGAGGTGACTACCCGATACTGAGAGTAAAGATCTTCTGAGAAGAGCAAGAGAACAAACACTGCCCACCTACTGTCACACTGACGGAGGACTCAGCCTCACTGGGCACAGAAAACTCGGCTGTATTTGCAGGTGGGATCTCACAGGTTATGATGCACTGTGTTCTCTAAACTCAATGGAAAAGTCTAAGTCAAGAAGGTTTTTTTTCTGAAATATACATAACATTATGGGATGGCTAATCTGAGCTAATTAACATGAATCACCTCAAAAACTCACTGTTTAGTGCTGAGAATACTAAAATCTATGCCCTTACCAATTTTAATTACACTAGAATTACAGTAAATGTTGCATATACAAAAGTGAGAGTTTTTGGCTCTTCATTACACTGAGTTGACCCCTGATGAGCTGACCTACTCATAGACTCCTTAACTGTTTATCTACCTTCCCCTCTGGATGAGATATACAAAGAGCAAAAAGGTACAGTCCCTGCTGGAGAGCTCAGCCTGAGAGGTGCTGGCATGGTGCGATGCTGTAGGTGCTGGAAGACCTATACGTGTGTGTGTCCAGAACTCCTAGTTTCTTATGGTCAGCCTGTGAGAGCGAGTGCTAAGTGGGCCTTCCTAGGACCAGTCCCAGACGGGAGCAAGTTGAGGCCAGGTGCTCAGGCTGCAAAATACAAGGAGACACTCACTTGTAGGCCCATGCTAAGAGGTCAGCCCTATCCAGTGACTATCTCCTGAAATCTGTGCCTAGGCTCGCCTCTCTTACCTCACTTCGTCTCAGCTCTGTCACGAGACCCACCAAGCAAAATGGAAAAGCTTGCAGTAGACGTTCTTGAAAAACATCTGTTTTATCAAAGGGGTTTCTTTTCTTCTGGGAGAATCACAAGTGGCAATCCAAGAATGATAAGAACTTTTTTTCCCACTAACTCAGAAGTCACGAGTTGCTATAAAAGTTTCTAACTGTAAACTCAAGTCCCTCAGCAAGACTTTCTCAAGGAGAATGGAATGAGCTATGTAGGGTGCACCTTGGGTCCCTGACAATATTCTAAGGTGTTGAGAGGACTCCAAGGCCAACTTTCTAACAGAATGCAAAATGAAATCCTGGGAGTCTCAAGTCTCCCCTTGAAATACTAATTTACTGTGAGGATTGTTTGCCAAAAAAGAGCAGGAAGTAAAACCTACAATCGTTCACTTTTCATGATGCACCTCTCATTTTTCTTCTAAGGGCTCTGACATTTGCTCCTTACACTCATTAATCTGTAACAGCATCACTTACAGGGCTGTTCCACAGAACTCTTGGCTATGATGTAAACATTCCATTGTCTGCCCTCACATAGTAGTCACCTGCCTGCTGAACACTTGAAATGTAGCTCATATGACTGAGAAATGGGTTTAAATAATTATTGCGTTTTATTAATTTGGATATAAATTTAACTACGTACAGCTAATGGTTATCATATTGGATAGTACTAATTTATAAAGTAAAACCAAACTAATAGGAAAAACTAGGCAGAAAGTCCTTTCTGGATTTCAGAAAATAACCTAAATCTACTAGTCTGATACCAGAAGTAGTACGCCCCCCAACATCCACCCACCCACACACAGGAGAAATAAACATACGTTATCCAAGGGAGTACTGGAGCAGCCAGGGAAGGGGCCAAATGGAATTCTTATCCACCATACATACTTCCTTTCACAGGATGTGGCTCATCTTACACAGTCTAGCACTCCTAGGAATAAGGTTGGCATTCACCAGACCAGAAGTGCTCTTTAGAAAATGTCTCAGCATAGTCACCACAGTGTAGAGCTTTCTGTCCCTCATTCTACTCTAGATGGCTCTGCTGAGGATGTCAAGGTCCCCGGGGGAGAGACAGGGAGAGGAGATGCACCCCACATAGTGAAAATAGTTCAAATTTGTCTTGTTTCCCTACACCCCCAAGAAGGTAAGGGTGCCCCAAATGCAGCTATACTTACTCTGCCCGCCCCCTCCACCCCCACACGCCCAGGCAGCCTGGTTACTCTCCCTGGCCTCTGCTGTCCCAAACTCACCTGGAACAGCCTTTTGTGGAGGTGGCCATAGGAAAAACATTCCCGGGTCACAGGACAGCATGAAGGCTCTCAACTGCCTTGCAGAGGCAAAAGGCCATTGTCCCTGGAGACTTGGGAACAGGGACAGCGGTGGAATTTTTCCAGGCCACACTGCTGGCTGACAGTATAGCAGTGACTCACTCATTCAGCCTTTTCCTGCTACTTTTCAGCTTAGGGTTTGTCTGAGCATGATCCAGCCATGCTAAAGGTTGGGAAGCACATTTCCAATGGAGACAGTTTACCGCTCTTGAGATGAGTACCTTGGCAGGCTGTTGGCCACGTATGGGAAGATGGGCTTCCCACCCCTAACACACAGCCTCTGCTGATAAAACTGGTCAAACGGGCCTGTGACTACTGAATGGGGCCCAAGTCTGTAACAAGGTAAAAAAGCCAAAAGCCAAGTCAGGTGTACAGAGAGGAACATGCCCAAGATATGTGCCTGAGCCTCTCGCCAAACTTTCTATGGATCTCTGATTCTCCAGATAGCACAAAAACGGGCTAAGGCATGGAGACACTTTGCTCCTCACACTGTGTCACCCACCAGCCCTTTCCTACAACCCTCCTCACCCTGTTTTTGCTCTAAAACATATGCCTTCATCTATGCAAGGGCAGGCATACAGCAGAAACAAAACCTTCCCTGAATGGGGCTTCCACACTAGAGATGAGGAGAATAACAATTAAGTAAAATACACAGTGAGGGGTGCTCTGGGTGTCTAAGAGGAAAATTAACACAGGGAAGAAAGAGTAAAGAACTGAGGACTTGGGGGAGCGTAAAACTGCATACAGGTGCCCAGGGAGGACTTCACATCTACACAGCAACATTTTTTTTTTTTTTTTTGGCACCGGGGATGGACTCACAACCTTGAGCTTGCAAGGCAGGCATGAGACCACTACACTAAATCGCCAGCCACCGCAACCTTTAATCAGATATGGAATAAACTCTCAGATAGTAAATACTTACATATATATACACACATATATATACACACATACTACACACACACACACACACATTCCTTAGATATAGATTTTTTGAGACAGGGTCTTGCTTTGTAGTTCAACCTGGCCCTGAACTCACTCGTAGCCCAGGCTGGCCTTGAATTCGCAGTGATTGTTCTGCCTCTGCCTCCCAAGTGCTGGGATTACAGGTGTACGCTACCATGCCTGGCTCAGACAGCAACTTAATTTTTTTGGTACTGGAGATCGAACTCAAGACCTTGAGCTTGTGAGACAGGCATGATGCCACTGAGCTAAATCCCCAGCCCACAGGTACTATTTTTTAAAATGCAAAGTTAATGATTTCAAGTGTTTTCAATAATATGAAATTTCACTATCTTTCTTTTCAAGTGAAAAGATTACAAATGACTCGCGGTCTCTAACCAGTGAATTTCAAGGAAAAATAAATCATGTAAAGACTTTTAATATTTAAGAAACATATTACCCAGCATATGGATTTTATTTGGGTGGGGGCTGAGGTAAAAAAATAGCATCTGAAATGATTGGGGAAACAGGATCTGAGACAATTTGCGCACTAACTGGGTTATGTGACCATAGTAAGAAACTTGTTTTTACTTCTAGGTGTAATGACAACATGGTTCTTCTTCACTGTTAAAGAACATATATATTTTACAGATGCATACTGAATATTTTTGTATGAACCAATGTGATATTCAAGGTTTGATAAAGCAGGTAGGAGTTGGGAGTGGGTAGGAGCAGAGATAACAAGATGGTCACAACTAGGGAACCCTTTTTTCAATTTTGATTTTTTTTATTTTTTAGTACTGTGTTTATTGTAGCACAATTCATACTAGCTAAATATTAGAAGCAGCTTATATGTCTATCAACAGATAAATGGATGAATGCATAAAGAAATTATGGTATTATTATACAATGGAGTACTAGTCTTCCATAAAGAAGAATAAACTTAATTCATTTGTAGGAAAATGAATGCCTCTTGAGACTATAATGTTAAGTGAAGAAAATCAGACACACAAGCTCAAATATCACATGGTTTCTCTTATATAATAAATCCAAAATATAAAATTTAAAAGATAGATGATAGGAAATAGGGACATGGACATTTTGTAAATGGGAGGGGGACCAAGAGATGGAGGGAGAGGGAGGGGAAAAGGATAAAAAAAGAATTAAGATGTGTTATGTAAATGTACCAACTTCCCATGAGTAGGCAGCCCTTAAAGTTGGCTGGGGTGCATGGGGGTTTGCCAGATTTTCACTCAACTTCTGATTATATTTGAATTTTTCTATAACAAAAAGGTTAAACAATGGGAGCATAATACTTGTCATCCAAAGTGTTTACCACAAACCTAACAGCTATTAGGAAGCCTGTAACAATGTCATTCATGGCGTATTTATGGCAAACAGGCTTTATCCCACAATGGCAAAACTGTCTAGTAGAGTTAAGATAAGACACATTCTGTGGTTCAGCTCTCAACACCATAGCTGGATTTTCTCCAGGAAAACACACAGTGGTCAATATCTACAGGAAAGCTCCACATTCCTTCCAGAGCTCACGTCCGTGTCTTCTCCTGGCACAGCCACAGGCTCACAGACTGTGGAAGGGGAAAGGCAGCCCAAAAACAGCCCAACACACGTGGCCAGCAGCTGCCAGAAAGTCTCCTCAGGTCTGCAAAGTTTGTAAGCTTCCAATCTTTACAT